CATGCTCTCAGATCAAAATCTCCATGCTTTCTGATCAAGCAATGCTCTTAGATTAAGCTCTCTATGCTTTCTGATCGAGTAATACTCTCAGATCAAGCTCTTCATGCTTTTCTGATCGAGCTATGCTCTTAGCTCAAACTATCCATTTTTTTGATCGAGCCATGCTCTCAAATCAAGCTCTCCAAGCTTTCTCATCGAACAATGCTCTCAGATCAAGTTTTCCATGTTTTCTGATCGAGGAATGCTCTAAGATCAAGCTCTCCATGCTTTCTGATTGAGTTATGCTTTCAAATCAAGCTTTCCAAGCTTTCTGATCGAGTAATGCTCTCAGATCAAGCTCTCCATACTTTTTAATTGGGAAATGCTCTCCAATCAAGCTCGCCATGCTTTCTAATCAAGTAATGTTCTCAGATCAAGGTCTCTAAGCCTTCTGATCGAGTAATGCTCTCAGATCAAGCTCATCATGTTTCCTCATCGAGCAATGCTCTTAGATCAAGCTCTCCATGCTTTCTGATCGAGTTATGCTCTCAGATCAAGCTCTCTAAGCTTTCTAATTGAGTAATGCTCTCAGATCAAGTGCTCCGAGCTTCTGATCGAGCAATGCTCTCAGATCAAATTCTCCATGCTTTTTGATTGAACTATGTTCTCAGATCAAGCCCTCCATGCTTTCTGATTGAGCAATGCTCTCAGATCAAACGCTCCATGCTTTCTGATCAAGTTATACTCTCAAATCAAGTTCTCCATGCTTTCTGATCGAGCTATGCTCTCAGATCAAGTTCTCCATGTTTTCTGATCGAGTTATGCTCTCAAATCAAGCTCTCCATGCTTTTTGATCGAGTTATGCTCTCAGATAAAGCTCTCTGTGCTTTCTAATCGAACTCCTCGCACTCTTCGATCTAGCTCCTTATGCTCTCTGATCGAGCTCCCTATGCTATCAGATCAAGCTCTTTATGCTCTATGATTAATCTCATAAGCTCGCTCATTCGCTTAAGATCATGTGTTCAAGATCTCTCAGATCTCTTAGATCGCGACAAACATAATTCAAGTACTTCAGTTTGAAACTGCAGTCTATAGTGCGACAACCATCTAGATCGAAGACATGAGTTTTTGAAGTGTGATTACGCACTCCAAAAATTAGGGGGCTATTGTTGTGTGGTCAATCTGGAGAGGATAATTCCCTATTAGAAGAGAAGATATTTAGATTTGCTCAATTTGGAAGGAAGATATTTAGATTGACTTAGATTCCAACTAAGATAGCTGAAGATCATGCAACTTCCTAATCCTACATATTTGAATCTTATCTCAACTCTATCATGTAAATGCGTGTTATATAAACCCATCATAACTTGTTTTCAAGTGAGCTGGATAATTGTTCTAAGCAAATTTTCTTAAGAATTACACTGTTCTTTGTAAGCTCTCAAAAACAATAATATAACAATGGACGTAGGCTTAAGTTCTAACTTGCCAAACCACTTTAAATATCTCTCTGCCATTTTCTTTATTGTATTTATTATTCATCCACTGTTGGTTATCTGTAATCACGCGCACATCCATTCTGGTTTCGACAGGGTTAATTGAAATTTTCTAGTTGGTGTAGATTATTGTATCAACACACGGTCAGTGGTTTTTTTTTTTTTCAAACTTTGTATAGTAAAAAACTTAAAAAGTTAAAGGGTCAGTTGGATGTGATTCAAAAATAATTTTAAAAAAGTAAAATTTAATTCAAATATTTAAATTCTATTTTAATATTTGAAAATATATCTGATATAAAATTAAAAAAAAAATCTGATTAAAAACCATAAAAACTTTTAAAATGACTCTTAATTGTAATACTACGTTGACAAACGAATCTCACAAACTGACGTGACACCTGAGTTTAAACAGTTATTTTTTAGGGACGAACAATCATTCTTTGTCAAGGAACAGTCACTCCTTTAGTCATTCTTTCATAAGAAACGACTGTTATTTCACAAGGAACGACTGTTCCTTCATAAGTAACTGTTGTTTCTTATAAAGGAACAACCATTTTCTTTATAAGGAATGAGAAACTCTCATTCCATAAAAAGAAAATGGTTGTTCCTTCATAAGAAATTATCATTCCATGACCATTTTTCTTTACATGGCCGTTCCACAAGGAAGGAATGACTGTTCCATAAGAAATTACCATTACCGTTCCTTCAAGGAATGACCCATTCCACAAGGAAGGAATGACCGTTCCTTAGAGAGGAACAGTTTATAAACGATCATTTCTTGAGTCTAATCAAAATTATTTTGTATCCTAAGTATGGTGAAGCTACCAACTCTGTTGTCATATCAGAGTTTACAAGAGAGATTTGTGAGATTCTTTTGTAAACATATATATGGAAGTATATGCTGCGACACAACTAAAGCGAAAGACCTCCGGTTGTAACGGAAGCGAAAAGAGGAATTGGTTCATCACCGTTTGGTAGACCTGGTCTAAGCCTGGTAATAGACCTAAACTCCGAAAAAGAACGGGTCAATGGATCAGTTTATCACTTTGGCCTGCCTTATTCCTTTGAGGATAGGCATCAGGGCTAGAAGACTGTGATACAAAACCACTCAGCGAGGCAGAATCTGCAAACGGCCACATTGTTTTTGTGTTTGTATAGTAATCTAGTTCGACCTTTGGACAACATGATGGGTAGAAAGTCTTTCTGCCTGGTTTTGAATGGGAGAGCAAAAGAGGCAAATCTCAATGACTAGACGAATCCGCAGTAAGGGCATCTGCCAATTATGTTACGCCAATGATTGTAGAAAAAGAGTGAAACGGGCTTAGAGGCTGCTAGAGACCTTTAAACCTCTATTTTACACCTATTAGGTATCATGTAAAGACTCTCAAACCTAAGCTTTTAAAAGCAAGAAAGTGGCAATACGGCGAAGCTGCCTAGCTTCTTTTTTCATAGACAGCGTAGTGATAAGAAAATGCTAATGCCGTTGACTCAGATCCAAGACGGAAAGTGGTTGATGACGACTTTGAGTAGGAGGACTAATTCATCACATCAGGTTTAATCCCGAGATCCTTCTTCCCTTGAGCGGCTCCTGAGCCCAGCTCGCCTTTTTAGAGATTTCTCACTCCTATTTCGGGCTAGACCATCGAAATCTTCAACTTCTGGCTAAGCCGACATAACATATTCAACCACGGATTAAGTCGACATAACATCCTCACGTTCAGTCAGGTTTTTCCAATTGGATTACCTTGTCGGAATTGGATAGAAGTAGGGCTTTATTGTCCTTTGTCTTTGCCTTCTGCTCGAGCTTGCTGTAGGAAACTTTTCGCCTATGCCATTATTAGAGGAGTAACTGGTTTTTCAAAACCTTGCTTCGCTTCGCAGACAAGAGTGTGGACAGTATATTTAATCGCCCCTACTAATGCAAGTGCAGTTCTCACTGCTCAACTATATAAATGGGGCTTTTCTTCGTCTTGCCCATGTGTATGTAACAGGTGAACAATAAGCACCAAGCTCTTTTGTCTATGCGCTTATGAGGACTCCTTCACTTAATGACATTCCTTCCAGATCCAGTTTTGTATATTTTGATTAGGTAATTGCATATTCTGATGATTACTGGTTTCGGAACAAATCTTCAAACTAGATGCCTTCTGCAGCCGGATGTTCTACCAAAGTCTCAAGCGACACATACGCTTAACGACTTTCTAGAAGTGAGGGGGATGGCGCATACTCAAACGAGGGGCTTTCCCACACTGATTTACCAACCTCTAGGGCTTACATCCCTTCCTCCCGACCTACTGTCTTCTGACTCTTTCCCGGCAATGGCTATGAAATCAAGGGATTGGAGCTCTTCGGCTTCCCTTTTCGATGGTTACGAGTGTGAAATCATTGGTTCTACTCGGCCTAAGGCATTCTTCCACTTTGGCAGATACCCATTCTCAAGTAGATCTAAGGCGTTCTACTCATTTTTTCGTTCGAATAATTCGTCTTTTTCAGTCTCCCGTAGGGGCACCCTTCATTGAGAGGCTAGGAAACTCTGTTTTAATCCCTTTCCCTTTAGGGGTAACCCATGTAGGGGAGTAGCAGAGTTCTGCAATCTTATGAAAAAAGGGTAGTTTTGTGCCCTATGCTTTCAGTAGAACAAGTCACTTTCTTCTTTACAGCCGAACGTCAAACTATTGGGAATAGCTCGAGAAGAGAGACAGGGGCAAATAAGTCCACTTTGCTACCTTTGAATAGATGAGAAGCTAAAAATATATGTTTAATCTCTTTGAGGAGAATCCATGTAGGGTGGTAGCAGAGATGGGTAATCTCAAGAAAAAAGGGCCTTTAGAGCCCGCTTCCTAATCCTGATGATCCATCTAGATGCGAAAACCCCCTTTTTTCTCATTCATGCTAGGCAGAGAGCGGCTATTGCGGTGCACCTATACATCTTGATGAACCTTACACTATGGTAGAGGATGGCTCACATTACACACTTAATGAGTTGCTCTATTAATCAATTATTCCAGATCCGTTTTAAGAAGGGTAAGTTGAGTAAAATGCAAAAGGGTCCCCAGGGTTTTTTGTGTATATATATATATATAGGTTGTGTTAACTGTACATGCCCTTTGAAACGTCTCACCAGTCACCGTCTCTGACCAATGACCATTGATGTGAAATACGAAAAGAAATGCATGGGCTCCACTCGATTAAATCTCCTAAACCAAACACTCCTTAATTAGCTTTACCACAACAAAACCCAACATCTTCATTAAAAATTTGGGCACCTAATCGTTAACGGCCCATCAGGCCCAAAGTAGGCGAGGCTGAAGCCCATTAAACGAGGTTTGATGACAGAAGAAGATTCTAGTGACGCGTGCCGTAGGAGCGTGGAGGAGGAACAAGATCTCCCATTAAGCTTGCTCAAAATCAATTGGGCAATCATCTCATACGGACAACCCACCTTCTTCTTCTCGAGTGTGACAAACTCGCGCCATCAGCCCGTGAATATCACATCAATTCTATTCTTCAACAAAGCACCACAACCAACAGACAAACAAACAACTCTCCCTTCTTTCTTTTGTCCTCTTTATTTTATTATCGTATTTTTGTTGTTTTTGTTTCACGTCTTAGGTGGGTTAACCAAAACTCAGTATCACGCGATTCCTCCATTTGTATTAAATCTTGTCACACAGCAACACGCGCACCAACACGAACACGAACACAAACACTTTGTTGCATTTTTGGGTTCTTAAATCTAATCGATTTTGCTTTTTTTTTTTTTTCGTTATTTTAGGGCTAGGGTTTGGTAAAATTTTAATTTGATAGATCGGTTTGTTTTTGTTTTTGTTTTTTTTTTTTAGTTTTTTTTTCTTTCTTTTAATATTATTGAAGGGGCCTCCCGAGGATGGGGGGTGGAGTAGACGGAGCAGTGGAGGAGGTAAGCGAATCAAACGGTGGAGATGCGGTGAAGGTCAACATCAGATGTTCCAACGGCTCGAAATTTTCTGTGGATATCGATCTCGAATCCACCGTTGAATCTTTCAAAACTGCTCTCTCTGAGAAGTGCGAAATTCCACCTGAACAACAGCGGTTGATTTACAAGGGTCGGATCTTGAAGGACGATCAAACCCTAAAAAGCTATGGTACCGTCTTATCATTCCATTTTTTTGATAATAATATATATCTGTTTGTACCTTTTTGGTTTTTTTTTTTTTTTTTTGAATTGATGTCGTGGAATCTTCGTTTTGATTTGTTGAGTGATTGATGTGGATAATTAAATTAAGGAGCATGAATTGGAGTTCATTTTTAGGGATTATTATACGATTTTTGGTTTTATATGTTCGATTAAATGAGTTGATGACGATAAAACACAGGATATTAACTATTTATGCTACTGGGTTTATTTGAAGATGGGAGTATTGAACCGTGGTTTGTGTATGGGAAGCTGTGAACACACCTAGTTTAGAATTGATGCTCAGTTGCGTTGTGCTCCAAAGTATGGATTTTGGAAAGTGAGTCTTCCCTCTCACACCTACATGTTGGAGCTAAATTTTTATCATAGACCATCAATTTTCCGACAGTCTATCTGACTTCTTAAAAGATGCCACCATCTAAAACCTCTTTGATTAACAGTGTTTTTTAAAACTTCATTTGGATTTATTAATATGATGTATCTTTGGGGCGTTCTGTAGAATGAAGATAGGAGGGTCAGAAGTAGGGAGGAAATTCAAAAAGGTCAGATGGGAAGGAAGGGGAAACAATATAACGTCAAACCGTTGATGTTCAAATCGTAATCATTACATGAAGGGATGGAAGCTGGACAGAAAGTTAAGAAAAAGGAAGAGAATCATCTTTTTAAGTTATCCTTGTCTTATGTAATGTTTACAAATATGGTAAACTTCAACATGTAAGGATAAAATGATTGATTATGATAAGTGGTGTTATATTTGTAGTAAGTAATTTGTATTTGTAGTCCTGAATCACCTTAGAAACTGGAAAGGAGTTTCTTATGATTTTGTATTTTCCTTTGACATGGTTATGCTCTTGATTCTCTGGAACATAGTTCAGAGTTGAAATCAGAGGACAGCATGTCGAAGAGTTTTTATATTCCATCAATTTGAGCGACAACTTATGCTGTAGTAGAAGTTCTGTAATTATTATTATTACTATTATTCAACTCTTTTTTGTTGCTTGCCTGAGCATTTAGTGTAGAATTGTGCCAAGGTATTGTCAGTGGCTTCCACTGGAAATTATTTGCCCTAGAATCGCATTTGTACACTTTTTTGGGGTAAATAGTTTACCAGCATAAATTTTTATATTTGATGGAAACTTGCTAGAGTGAATGATAAATTGCTGGAAGCAAAGATTTTTGCAATGTTATGTACCATGATTAATGTGAACGTTCTGTTTCTTTGATGGTTAGGTCTGGAGGCGGATCACACTGTGCACTTGGTTCGTGGTTTTGCGGCTGCGGCAGCACCAAACCCTACTGTAGCAACCAATACTGGAGGTTCAACTCCAGCTCAAAATGCTGCTAGAGCTGTAGGTACAAATGAAGGTGATACTCTGGGAGGATCTGGTTTTGGAGCTTCACTGTTTCCTGGTCTTGGCATGAATGGCTTAGGTGGCAGTGGTGCACCTGGCGGTTTATTTGGAGCTGGACTTCCTGAGTTTGAACAAGTGCAGCAACAATTGACCCGGAACCCTAACATCATGAGAGAAATAATGAACATGCCTGTTGTGCAGAACCTCATGAATAACCCAGAGATAATGCGAAACTTGATAATGAACAATCCTCAAATGCGTGAAATCATTGATCGAAACCCTGAGCTAGCACACGTACTTAATGATCCTGGCACACTACGTCAGACGCTTGAAGCAGCTAGAAACCCAGAGCTTATGCGGGAAATGATGCGCAATACTGATAGAGCAATGAGCAACATTGAATCTTCTCCCGAGGGATTCAATATGCTTCGGCGCATGTATGAAACTGTTCAGGAACCATTTCTTAATGCAACCTCAATGACTGGAAATGCTGGAAATGAAACTGCAAATCCTTTTACTGCTCTCTTGGGTAATCAAGCTGGGAATCAAGCCAGAGATGGGTCAACTAACCCGTCAACCACTAATTCTGATACTACTGGTTCTCCTGCTCCCAATACTAATCCACTTCCAAATCCTTGGGCATCTGGTGGCAGTAAGCTTTTGCTCTCGGTTGCTTCTTGTTTTATTCAAGATATTCAAAGTCTTAAGCAGTTAATGCCTTGGTTTTTTCTTAATGACGTTTGGTTCTTAAGCAATATATTTGTCCATCTTCTTTGTATCGTTTTTATTGTTCTCTGGATTTCAGTAGATGAGAAACTCATTGAGGCTCTACATTTAGCTATGTGTGAAATATGATGGGTTTAGCACAAACTTTTACGTCTTATAAAAGAGGATCCTTTTTTCTTTTAATTGTTTTCATAGATCCCTTGGCTGACTAAACAGTTTTTTGTGAGTTCTTGTGGAACTTGGAGGAAAACAGTTTGTTTGCTATACTCTAGTGTTTGAATGATTGCAACATCTGTTGAGTTATTTTCTATACATTTATACAATTTTCAGGCAGGCAACTTTTCTTCTTCTTCTTATCTCTCTTTTTTTTTTTTTTCCCCCCTCCTCAAATTCATCATTTGTGTTTAAAAGTGCTGGTTAATAGATGTTCATTACTTCCTGACAACCAGTTCTTGACTAAGTTTAAATTTAGCAGCTGGAGGTGCCCCGCCTAACACCGCAAGGTCTAATCCGCTTGGGGATGCGAGGCCACAGACACCTGCTGGCTTAGGTGGACTTGGTCTCCCGGGGTTTGAAAGCATGTTGGGTGCCATGCAGGATACTAATTCACTGAATCAGATGATGCAGAATCCGGCTATTTCACAAATGATGCAGAATCCGGCTATTTCACAAATGATGCAAAGCCTTCTCTCCAACCCACAGTACATGAACCAGGTATAAAGTTCTACTGTTTCCTGCAAAAGATATGGTTCAGATTGATGAATCTTGTTATCTAACATTATGAAGTTACAGATTCTTGGGCTTAATCCCCAGACGCGTAACGTACTTGATTCCAATTCTCAACTCAGAGAAATGATGCAAAATCCTGAATTTCTTCGTCAGTTGACTTCTCCTGAGACAATGCAGGTATGTTTATTTAGTTTGCAGCTGTTCAGCCATGCTTTTGCTCAGTGTGTCTCTTTATCTCCTTCTCTTCCTCCCTTTCACTCGGAACCTGCAATCCTCCTTTTGCTCATGGAACATTTATATTTATTTCTCCATCCACCTCCCATCGAACACCTTCACAGTTGCAAAAGTACACATGGCATGCTGGATTGGAATTGCCTATTGTGAAATTTTTTCCTGTATAAGCTACTGAGATTTGTATATGAATATTTTTTCTCATCCAAACCTATAATTAGTTTATGTGAAGTTGAAGGCTTTGTGTATAGGAATGATTTTTGAATTGTAGTGTGTGGAATGATGTGCTGGTAAGGTTGACATGTGAGTTGCTTATTGTTTTTCCTTTTCTCTCTTGCAGCAAATGTTGACTTTGCAGCAATCCCTGTTGGCTCAACTTGGTCGGTCACAGTCTCCCCAGTAAGCAGTGGCTTGATTCTCTTAATTTTTTCTGAAAGACTTCATGTAGCCAGATGCAGGATTAAGTCCTTTTTTCTTTTTGGGTTGAATTGGGTTTTATTTGATGAGGAACCTTGACTAGATTCTTATCTTTTTATTTTAGTAGTTTTTTAGTCAAAACATGATTCGATTGTTTTACGTTAGATTTAGTGCACTTATCCGGATAACTCTTTTGGTTTTAGCTTGTTGCTTGAAAAACTTGTTCTAGAAATTGGGTCATGAGCCATGGTTTCAACTTCTGAATCAAGAGTTTGGCTTACCATATTTTGCTTGACCCTGGGTAATAGTAGAAATGGACTTAGCCCAATAAAAAGCCTTTGTCATAGTTAGCATCCGGGCTTAATTATTTTCAGGTTCCTTCCAGTTTAGAATGTTATCATTTAACAAGAAAGAAATGAGAAGGGTAGAATTGAATTGTCTTCCTCCCTGCTGTCCTTAGCACGCTGAATCATTTGGTTCTCCCTCCTGGTTGAATCTATTTCAAAAGGTTCAACTTTTGAGCTTATTTTAGTGGCTGGTTTTTCATTTCAGTTACTAGGCTAGTTTTAGTTCATTTTTTTGACGGTTGATTAATGTAATAATATTCATTTGAGTTACTATTATTATATTTAATTATATCTTAATGTTTTCCCTGAATTTGGTGCTCTCTTGCAGGGAACCAGGCCAGACTGGTTTAGGGGCAGGTATCCAGTTGACTGTCCATACTTTCTTTTCCCTGCGTTTCTCTTTTTCTGGAATTATTATTTCTACAATCATATTTGATGATTTTGAGGAAGATTATTGCTTTGCAGCATGCCATACAAAATTATCATTTCTGCAGTTGACAAGCTTTAAATACAAATGGTGGTTTGTTATAGATATGAGATGCCTCTTACCTCATGAAAGGATTTTTCATAAGAATTCTTCTATTACCAGGAAACATTTTCTTGGTGATTGTTGTTAGTAAGGCCATGAGAAAGATCCTTCATGTTGAATGTCTGGCTGTTTTCTATATTCTGCTCAGATTGCCCTCTGGTATATGTTCTATGTACTGGAAATTGTGCTGACAATGGCTGTTGTGCTTAGTTATTTTTGTTTGTGGAAGGTTACTGCATAGATCCCTATTGATGTTCTGTCAGTTTTCTATATTCTGTTTGCGTTTCCCCTGCAGCATCTTGTATGCGTATGTGCTAAAAGTTATACTGACTCTGTAGTTTTTTCATTTTTCATTTTTCTTTAATGTGAAAATTGTATTTCTAGGAGCACCTAACAACATGGGTGGCTTGGAGATGTTGATGAACATGTTTGGTGGACTTGGAGCTGGCAGCCTGGCTACTCCCAGATCTGATGGTTACACTTGCATCCTCATTATTATTTTGTATGACTTACCTTAATCTTTGTCTGTATTGTACTTATTTTAGTTGGTCTTTTCAGTGCCTCCGGAACAATTATATGCCACCCAATTGTCACAACTTCAAGAAATGGGTTTCTTTGATACTCAAGAAAATATACGGGCTTTAATTGCCACTGCAGGAAATGTTCATGCTGCTGTGGAGCGTCTTTTAGGGAATTCTGGTCAGTAGATTTTATCAATGTTGAATACTATATGGCTGTTGCCCTTCATATGGACTTATGGAGTGCCGGAATAGTTCAGTTGGACCGGAGTTTATTCAAGTCCAGTTTGGGTTGGATATCATTTTACTATATAGTAAGGGCTTCAAACTTCGTTGTGTACTCTCTCTCTAGAGAGATCAATCAATCAGGCTGGAGTGTCTTGTACATACTCGGTATTAAGACTTTCATATGAATTGTTTGCAAAATTTATTACCCTTTGGAATGCGCAAATTTTACTTTTCAATGTGTCAATTGCCTACTGCATGGTTTTATACCTGATACCAATTTAAGGTTACCCCCTTTGTTGGTAAATCTAATCTCTAAGGAGGGAAAATCAAAAGGTGGCAATGGAGAGGATTATTTAAGAATGCTTAAGAGTTAGAGATAAATTTGCTGGCAGGAGATGAGTTCCCGAGGGGAAGTCTAGCAAGTTTCTTGATGTATTGGAGCAAAGAAGATGATGATAGAGAGTTTAAAGATACATTATAAATTTAGTATTACAGGAAGTGGATTTTGCATGGCCAAGCTTTACTTTTTGTCTCATTTTATTTTGATCACAATCCTATTCCCTGTTTGGTCAAGATATAACACGCGTATGGTAATGGAAAGATGTTCATGGGTAGAACTTTTTGCAGATAAGTAATCATAATTTGAGAGCACAAACAAAACAATGAAATTATTTCCTGCCAAAAGAGGAGGGACAATATCATGTGCATGTGCTCCTTTTCAAGTAAATATCTGGCAAAGTTGTGAATATATGTATTATAGATCATTCTTGCCAAATGGCTTTGAGACAATAATGTGTTCTTGTGAAGTAAAATATGAAGAAAATGATATGATAAAGTCGTTGTTTGTGGGTAGATGAAGATCAATCTTGCCCAAAGGGTCAGAGACAATATGTGTTCTTATATGGGTCAGTTTATGCGTGTTTTAATAATTCTCGTAATTGATTCAATGTTAGGTAAGTTATAAAAGATTAATCTTCAAGGTTTATTGGACATCTTACAAATTCAATGGATCAAATAAATCACAAATATGGTAATCTTTGGAGTTCGTCCATGGGTTAAGTCACAAATGATTTAATTCTTGACGGTCATTGAATACTCTATAAACCTAATGAATTAAATAAGTCACAAATGTGATAAATGATCGTTTTATAGGACTTGAACACAAAATCTCTAGGCAATCAAAAGTCTTGTCATTCGACCATCACCGAAAGAATATGAAAGAATACCAACTTCGTGTAAGTCGTACCAATCAAAGTTAACCCAATTCCACATATTTTATTACACCGTTTCAATGAAACCTTTGGAGTCTACGATTGACATGTGTTAATCTCTTAATCATCTCTAGCATCTACGGATTTTATCAAATACAACCCCCATCTTTTGTGAAATTCCTGTGGAGTTATACATTTTTTAATCAATTATCCCCTTGATGTATTTTTACATATTATCCAATTTGTTCCATCTATTTCCTTTTTTTTCTCAATAAATCCCTTTGACATTTTAAAAATTCATCAAAAACTATCTTTTTTTTTTTTTTTTTAATGCTATTATTAACAATTTGTTAAGTTTAATGAGTAAAATGACTATTTTGCCCACACAATCAACACTATCATATTAAAAATATAAAACAAAACAACTATTAAACATTTATGAGTTTAAAGGAAAAAATTGCTTGTCATATTTTATAAGTTTGAATATAAAAGTGCTAATCGTGCATAAGATTTCTTGTGTATTTTTGAAACGTCAAGGTGGTGATTGATTAAAAATGACATATTGTCTCAAACTTTATAAACATTGATGTGAGTATAATTATCATAAGGATTACTATCCCACACCTCCTGCGAGGTTTCAATTTTATCATTCATACCCCTAAGGTATGAAAAATTACCTTAACCTCCCTCCACATTTTGACAATTATTCAATACCTCCTCTCATTGGCTTTAATTGATAATTTTCTTCCATTTGGTTTGTTTCATTTAATCTTATGATATGAGATTTGTTAATATCAAATACACCATTTTATTCAAAAATTAAAAAACACCTTTGCCTTTAGAGATATATTAGGACTCTATTCAATTTTAAAAATATAAGTCTATTTTATCACTTCCCATCACTTACCAACTTAAAAAAAAAAAAATACTTTTTATTCCTCCTTACATTATTGTTCTTATAAAACATTAAAATGGTAGAATAGCTTCCACATAATTGATTATTTATTTATGATTTTATTTTAATTATCTTTTTGAAAGGAAAGACAAATTTACCAAAATTCATGTTTTAATTAAATTTTTGTTTAAATGTATTATATAAATGTGTAACATTCCCTAGGAAAATATAATTGTAAGTTCAAGGCTGATCTTATGTTTTTGGATATTTATTGAGTGAAGGATTTAAGAAATTCATTGAGTTAGTATCATTGTTTTAAAAACCGAACCGGAGGGCAACCCACTCTGATGGCCGGGTCATGGTTCAAGCGGTCCAAACGGTTGGACCGCCGGTTGAACCGATGGTTTGACAGGTTTAAAATCTAATAAAAACACCCCTGATAAATACCATTAGACCCTATAGGTTTGAAATCTAGCAAACACAACCTTGGCCAAATGCAAATCGGCGATCGATTGGGACAGCAGTGGTGACACATCAGGGAGGGTAGATCGGATGATGGGGAGGGTGAATCGGCAGTAACAAGTAGAGGAATCGCCGGAAAATGGCAGATCGGTGGTGGAAGTCACTGGTCGCAGTGGCTTTTTTTGGGTGAGATGACTGGATCTTCGTGAACGATGGCAAGGGAGCTTGGGAGAAGGTAGATTAGTGGTTGAGGAAGCCTATCGATGCCGGAGAAGGCCGATCGACGCTGGGAATGGAAGAAAAATACGCGGCAAAGGTGGACGACGAAATGTCACGCGGCGGCTGGAGATGAAGCGTGATAGCGCCGGAGAAAGTCAAAACTCAGAAGGTGATTTCAAACAAAGGGAAGGTGGAAGGTCGCCGGAAAAGGGGAGGTCATTGCCGATTTGCATTTGGCTAGAGGGTGTGTTTGCTAGATTTGAAACCTTCAGGGACTAATGGTAATGATCAGAGGTGTGTTTGTTATATTTTAAACTTCAAACAGTTAAAAAGAGTGACCCGACCCAGAGAAGGCCCTGGGTCCCGATCCAATCCGATTTTTAAAACAGAGGTTAGTATATGATGGAGAGGTAAAATAGACTTTTAATTTAAAAGTTGGATGGAATCATAACATATCATTGACAACAAAGGTTTTTTTAAATACTTCTAAAACGAAGTGGATGAGTGTGATATTAATCAATCTCATAGGGGGTAAATGAACTAGACCATACAAAACAAATCTATCAATTAAGGCTAATGAAGGGAGGTATTGGAAAATTCTTAAAATGTAAAAGGGAGGTCAGGGTAATTTTCATAACTTTGGGGTGTGAGTAACAAAACCGAAACCATAGGGAGGTGTCCTAATAATCCTTGTTGTAAACTTGTCAGTTTTTTAAAGTAAGAGGTACTACTTAATAATTTCCTCTTGCATATACGGTTGGGTCTTTTTAAAACTTGTAATTAATTGGTGACCTCCAAAGTGGCCAAAAATGGAAACATATCATATGCACAAAGCAATTGCATTTTATTATGGAAATTAATCATTTAATCCAAATGTTCAATATAGTATCTAACATTTTGATGCTTGGTAAACTTTCTCTATTTACATGATGCATATTTATTAATAAAAATATATCAATGTTATTTGAATTCTATGTATAAATTTTGTGATATATCAATAGTATAGGATGAAAGATTACCTCCTCCAAATATATATCTAACTTTTAATTACATGCATAACCTTTCTTATTTACAAGATGAGTTATTAATAAAACTATATTAATCTCATTTCATATTATTTACTAATTTTATATTAGTTGTTGATAATACCATATATTAAATCTATAATGTATCTATATCATAGAATAATCACTTCCCCAATTGTCATATCATAACTCGGAGTTAAAATTTTGGCAACTGATTGAAGTGTATATCTAACTTTTAGATACATGCATAAACTTTATTCATTTTATAAGATGAATAGTTATTAATAAAACTATTATACTTTTATTTAATAAACGGGTTTAGGTAGAACTCAATTCCGAAAACTAATAACTCTCCCAATTGTCATGTCATAACTTAGAGTTAACTGTTTCTGAAATTTTGACAACTCGTTGAAGTGTATATCTTTTATTCCACCTTACATTATTGTTTTTATAAAACATTAAAATGGTAGAATAGCTTCCACATAATTGAATATTTATTTATGATTTTATTTTATTTTTATCTTTTTGAAAGGAAAGACAATTTTACCAAAATTCTTTTTTTAATTAATTTTTTGTTTAAATGTATTATATAAATGTGTAACATTCCCTAGGAAAATATAATTGTAAGTTCAAGGTTGATTTTATGTTTTCAGATATTTATTGAGTGATGGATTTAAGAAATTCGCTGAGTTAGTAGATGATGGGTGGGTAAATTAGACTTTTAATTTAAATAATTGGATGGAATCATAACATATCATTGACAACAAGGGTATTTTTAATTCCCCTAAAACAAAGTGGATGAGTGTGACATTAATCAATCTCATAGGGGGTAAATAAGTAGACCATACACAATGTAAAGGGACGTATGAATAACAAAACCGAAACCTTAGGGAGGTGTGGGTAATAATCCTTAGTGTAAACTTGTCAGTTTTTTAAAGTTAGATGTACTGATTATAATTTTCTCTTGCATATACGGTTGGGGCTTATTAAAACTTGTTATTAATTGGTGAATCTTCACCTCCAAAGTGGCAAAAAATGGAAGCATATCATATGCACCTAGCAATTGCATTTTATTATGGAAAATAATCTACATCTTCAAGTATATATAGTATCTAACATTTGGATGCTCGTTAAACTTTCTCTATTTACATGATGAATATTTATTAATAAGACTATATCAACCTTATTTGAATACTATATATTAATTATAGAATGAATGATTGCCTCCTCCAAATATATATCTAACTTTTGATTGCATGCATAACCTTTCTTATTTACAAGATGAGTTTTAAACTATATTAATCTTATTTCATATTAGTTAATGATAATAGTATATATTAAATCTATAATATATCAATATCATAGAATATTCACTTCCCCAATTGTCATGTATAGCTCGGAGTTAACTATTTTTGAAATTTTGGCAGCTCGTTGAAGTGTATAATGTATATCTTACTTTTAGATACATGCATAAATTTTATTCATTTATAAGATGAATAGTTATTAATAAACCTATAATAATCTTATTTAATAAATGGGTTTGGGTAAAACCGACTTTCAAAAACTAATCACTTCCAAAATTGTTATGTCATAACTCGGCGTTAACTGTCTTTTGAATTTTGGCAACTCGTTGAAGTGCATATCTAATCGTGCATAAACTTTATTCATTCATAAGATAAATAGTTATTAGTAAAACTATAGTAATCTTACTTAATATACGGGTTAGGGCACCATAACAACCTATCAAATTGATGATCCAATACCATGATAAACAAGTTTGGATATAACTCACTCTTCTCAACGGAAGAGGAAGCCAACCACATAAATACACCATAATAGCCTACCAAATTAGCTATGTGAGACATATATAACTCTAACATTTATTATATAATATACTAATATCATATGATGATTTTTCCAGAGTTGTGGTGCTACTTCCCGGAGTTGCATTTTGTGGATATTGAATTTTTTTTCAACTTTAGTCATTAATAAAACTACAATAATCTTATTTAACACTACACAATTATTCTTATTTTATAATCAATATCATAAGAGGATCATTTGTGTCATGACTACTTGGAGCTTTGTTTTGTAGAAATGGAAATCTATCAAGTTTTTGAAGTATATATCTAACTTTAGGATACATAATACTAAATATTATTCATAGTATATCAATATTATAGGATGACTGTTTCCGAACTATGATGTCCTAATACAGATCATACTTTGCACTAGTCCAATCCTCAATTTGATTTACCAAAATTTTATCAGAACTTTTTGTCTGATTATTGAAGTTTCTTTCTATTGACTAAACTGACTAATTAGTCCTTACTTTCCATCTTTACTTAGAAATCCTAATCTTCCATTTATGATTCAACAGCTGTGGCTGTGCTTGTGCTTGTCCGAAATGGTATAGTTGTATTGTGTTCATCTCTATCACCACTCACCAACCCTATATAAATTCACCTTCTCTGCAACATCTATCATCAACACCAAGTAGGGTTAAAGGTTCTGCATGAAGAGTTGCAGCTAGCCTTTCATCCTTCACCTTTATTCTTCTGTTTCGATTTTCATACATTAGGGTTCCACATCAATGGTTGTAATAAAGACACACAGCTCCAAAATCCATAGTTGATCTTTCAGAATCCACAGTAACCCTTTTGATTTAACCCTCCCAAACAATGGCCAACCCTGGAGATTCATCTCATGAAAAAAGCGTTCCCGAAAAAGGTCGAGATGCTAGCGAAAATGAATCACCAGGACGAGAAAGGAGGGATATCACTCCTACGCCTCAAGTTCCTGGTGAAGAAGAAGGTGCAAAGGAGGTTCCTGGTGAGAGGGAAAGAACCGTTGCTCCTGCAGCTGAAGGCCCTGTAGAGAAGAAAAGAGGGAGAAAGGATGATGCAGGTGCTTCTTGCAGCAGTGGTGTGGAGAAGAAGAGGAAGAAAGGAGAATTGCTTGAAATTCCAAACAGATCTCCTTCTTGTTATCTCTGTGGGAGGAAATTTCAGTCCTGGAAGGCTGTGTTTGGACATATGCGTGCGCATAAAATCGGAGAGGAACGTGTAAGGGGTGCATTTCCTCCGCCAGTCTTTACTCCTCCAGGTTCTCCTCAAAGGGTGGTAAGCGGTCTCCAAGAGCAACTGGCTCCAACTCTCCTGAACATTGCGCAAGAGGTTTTGCAAGGACCTCGTGGACAGTCTTCTTCCGTCTCCAGAGGGCTAAACATTGATTTAAACCAGCAGCCGCCCCACCATGAAAGTCCTTCGACTTCTACACCATCTTCTCCTAAGAAAGATGGTGGTAGAAAACTGGACCTAAACAAGCCGCCCGCTCCGGAGGGTGGCGATGGTGATGGTGATGGTGGTGCTGGTTCTGCATGATGAGTCTTTGAATTGTTGGCTTGCGTAGGGTTTGATGGTCGTACTGTTCTACCTTTATATTTATTTATTTATTTATTTACGTTGCATGCGTCCCTTCATAAGTTTATTTAATTATGTGATTCCTATATGAAGGAGAACGCGGCCATTTTTGCATTTCTGTTTGTGTTTCTAGTTTATGCCTTATGTGATTCCTGTACCCAGGAAGAACGCGGCCATTTCTGTATTTCTGTTTGTGTTTCTAGTTTATGCCTTAAGATGAACCATATGTAATGTATGGTTTGGTTTGTTGAAACTTAATGCGCAGAATTTTTATTTCCCATCATTCTTCAATAGTAATTTCCCTTTGGTTTCATGCATATACATATTTGAAGATCAGCTGAAGAAGAAAATGAAAAATGATATTATAATTGAATAAAATTTCCACCGTTTTATACAACATGAAACTGGATCTAACGCTTAAATTAAATAAGCCATAAGAGAGTCAAAAGCAGCAATTTATAATCTCTCTTTTTGCCCTGGCCTGACTACAACATGAACGAAAATCCTCTAAATCATACTTTGGTTCCCTGAAATTTGTTGAAGAAAGTAAACCTCGCTTTGTTTTGGATTGGGCCGGACACTCGATAGTCGATATCGCATTTCTTTTGGTATTTGCTCAAGGCCTTTCTTAGTTTGCAAGTGCCTGATAAGAGACCCTCCGTGAGAGATGCAGGATTTATGAAGAAGTTGAAAGATGGACTAAAAATAAAATAATACGCATGAATGGCAAAAGGGCAGTCAGGGAAGCTAGATTAGTCAGTTTTCCTCGTAATGTCTCAGGTTCACAACTGATAGTATATGATTAAATATGCATGGTTACATGCAAGAAATAAAGTACCTAAGAGAGTTTATCACAAACTACTCTTATACTTTAAAAAAACAAAATACTTTCATAAAGATATACAACTCTTTATAGTAAACTTTGCATAAAAGACCAAATAGGGTTAATTTAACTTTTTAGCGGTTATTGGAAGTTAATTAACGGTTATATATTATCCTAACGGTTGTGTCCGTATTTTTCAAGTCTATAAATAAGATCGAAGATAGATTCTGGACATTTACTTTTTCTCTCTCTCTCTCTCTCTCTCTCTCTCTCTCTTTCTTTCTATATATATACATGTTCACTTCTGATATGTTTAAATCTGTGTAATTGAACCGATACATATGTAGTTAAGTATTTATTCATCTGTGCTAAAATAATGTTAATATTATCTTTATAGTTCAAAAATCAATTAAATGAGGATCTAATCATTAAAAGAAGATGATATTAATGTTACTAAGTGAGATGTTATATTCCAACTTGAGTTTTCTCTAGCTTTTGCTTCAATTTTAGTATTCGTTTGTCAGGTTTATTATGTAAATCTACAATACCTCCGTTGGTATATATAACCAATCAACATTGCCTTTTCTCTCTTTCTATATATATACATGTTCACTTCTGATATGTTTAAATATGTGTGATTGAACCGATACATATATATATATATAGTTAAGTATTTATTCATCTATGCTAAAATGATGTTAGTATTATCTTTATAGTTCAAAAATCAATTAAATGAGGATCTAATCATTCAAAGAAGATGATATTAATGTTACTAAGTGAAATGTTATATTCCAACTTGAGTTTTCTCTAGCTTTTGCTTCAATTTTAGTATTCGATTGTCAGGTTTATTATGTAAATCTACAATACCTCTATTGGTATATATAACCAATCAACCATGTGATGTGTGTATATCATGCACATTGACGTGACACTGTGTTTAGCTGATTGTATATACCTGGCGGAATCATACTCAGTCGATTCCGATTCCTAAATGCCTAAAATCGGTTCTAGTTCCAGTTCTGGGTACCCGACACTGTTCACTCAAAATTACAATGCACCACTCCTATTTGCAAAATGACAAATATACCCTATATAAATTACAAATACACCTCCAACTGTTTACAAACATTATAAATACATCCTAGGTATTTGTTAGTTCCATCCTGAGTATCCAGATCTCGGTTACGGGTCTGGTTACCAAATCTCGGTCTGGTTCTTGAAGTGGTGGACTAGACCCGCATAGTGTGGGTTCTACCAAATTTGGAATCAAAACCTCGAGTACCCGTCGATTCCGGTTCGACCCTAAAATTTTTCACACCCTTCTATTACACATGCATGAGATAAATCTGTAGTATTTATTGGAACTTTTTATATATGTTAATTTTGATAATATCTTATTCAATACAAACGCACTTTATAGTCATAACTCATATAGACAAGTTGGGTTGTTTATTTGTTGGCCACCACTAATGTATAATTAATTATTATTGCATGCATTTTGTGTGTTTACAGCAGAGATTTGCTGTCTACACTATTTATTCTTTTACAACTCTTTCATATACACATTGCCATCCATGCATCATTTTAATTAATGCACCATCTCCAAACTTATATATACTATACATTCTATATATATTTTTTCACCATTAATAATAATTGGACCATAATAAATATGAATTACTTAGTTTCTCTTAACTTTACGTTTAATTTATGAGATCTTTAATATTGTCCGAGAAAAATTCATGATTTGTTTGAGTTGAAGAGAAAAAAAATGGTACTATGTTATGCTTATGCTATACTATACTAATTAACAAGAGTTACATTTATGGTGACTAAAGTGTTAACTCTAAAAACTAATGGGGTCCAATAGAATTTGAATTTATAGGCATTAAATTGATATTTTTTCATATTCGAACACCAAAATTACATCAATAACATTGTAGTTAATGAACTTTGTGATGATTAATAATGGGACCAACTAACAAAAAGCTAGGGCCCACACCAGTTTGACGCCAGCCAATAAATGGTTACCACGTATACACCCGAGACGCGGGCAAAGTCGACCCTGCAAAGTTTTAGCGAATCGGTTAAATAATATTCCGCCCAAAAAACCCGTTACATTTTGAAAAAAAATCACTCGCAAACAAACACAAACACAGACGCTCGAAAGTTTCACTTCAGATCTCGTATTTCAGGTAACTATCTAACTTGGCGCTCTTAGAATTTGTTTGTTTGGTTAACTTCGCGCCTCTTAGAATTTGTTTTTTTCCGAGAAAATAGTAATTGAATGTCGGAATTTTTTTTTTTTTTCACATGTTTGCTGTAGAGAATTAGATTTGAAATAATGATGGAGCGAGCTGAGTCAGGTCAAAAGCTGTATACACGTATGCGTCTTTGGGAATTTCCAGATCAATATGTGGTGGAGCCCACCGACGGTTCCAGTGGTTCGTCGTTGGCGATTAATCGCGCCGATGGTTCAATGAATCTGATCGACGAAGTTCCAGAATGCACGTCTCTTCGTGTCCGAAAATTCGCTCATTTTGGCATCGCCGGAATGTTAAAGCTCGTGGCAGGGAAATTTATACCGATTCGTGATTGTGAGGAGAATTAATTTTCAGAATCAAAGTAACGTTTCCAGAAATTGTTTGTTTTTATTTGGAACCGAATGTTTTGTTTCAATATAGGATATTGAAATGGTATTTTTTTTTTTCTAAAAAAAAATTCTCAGAAACGTTACTGAAATGGGAAGAGAAGAAATTGAGAAGGAAACTTGATGTGTAATCTATTTTGATTGTACGATTAGGTTCATATTTGATAGTAATAACGGAGCGTGAATGTGTGGATCGTACTTGGGACTCCTATGTACAAAGTTACATCTTTAAACATTCTTCCCTGTGATATTCTCTGAATAATTCATCAGCAGAACAGGTGAATGTGACGCTACTGATTAATCTTTATGATTTATTTTCGCATTTAAGAGTGTTAGTTAATTGCGAACCTAAAATTGTTGTGCTGACTTGGCAGAAAAAAGTGGAGACTGAGTTTTCCGGCTCCTTAAAGTTGCTGAGAGGACATGTGGTCTGTATTTCTCGTATGACACCAATTTAACATGAGGTGAATGTTTTTCCGTAAATGGCATTTATCCATTTTCTTATTTTGTTGTACAACTTAATGAAAAGTGATAACTATTACTTCTTTTGAAGTTTTTAGTGCTGGTAGTTTTGTTTGAGGAATAGGTTACTAATGAGTAGTGACATATCATCAATTGTGATTTATTTTTTTGTAACTAATTAGCTTTTGCTTCTCTCTTTTCACATTAAACTTAAATTCATGGCTCAATTTAGAATCATAATTGTAGTTATGGTAGTTGCAGTGCACAGCGATTGAATGACTTGGGGACGAATCTAAATTGCTTCCTTTGTGGAGACAGGTAATCTTTTAAATGATAGTCATGCTTATAAACTGAAATATCCTTTTTTACATTGGTCCTCTTCACTATGTATGAAATTGTTTTAAATCTTATGTTTAGCACTTTAAAGTTTTTTCAATGTTTACTTTTATTGTTACAATGCAATAACAAGAAACTTGGAAGTTGCAATTGTTTGTGGCAGGCGGAACCCAGATTTCTCGGAACAACTATATGTTGGAAGTGCTCATAGATAAACAGGTCAATTTTGCCTAACTTGTTTTTAAATGTTACATGTTTCATCACTGTCCTTCCTTCTACAATTTATGTCACTCACTGCTGATGGTTCTTTTGGTCTCATGTGCAGCTTGATCCATTCTTACTTCCTATAATCCAAGGGAATATCCTTTATCACATCATTAACTTTACTTTTGTTGTTGTGACATGTGGACATTTTGAGTTTGTCTATTTCATGGCTGATTTAATTTATTACCCTCTAATTGTCTTTCTGTTTGAAGTGTTTCCTTAACTGATTTCGTTTCATAACTTCCAGACCGCCATTGGAAGGGACATCGTGATGTTACTCTGATTGCAAGGAGATGCACTAGGAGAAATGGTACTGAAAGCTTACTATATTCGATTGTATGTATTTTAGTTCAATAACTTGTTTTTGGTGGAGGAATTAACTAATTGTATATATCTAGCCCTATGTTGCTGTTGGCAAATCAGTTG